TTGTAGATTGTGCATCCATCCATGAGCTTTGTCACTTCAATTGCAACCGCTTCAGGGATAGGATTGCAATATGTCAGGGTCCACTTTAGCTTGTAATATTTCTTGGTTGTAATCAATCGGTACGAAGTCAAGATGGGATCTTCATCACTCGCTCCCTCAAATCGGTACACAAAAACCTCATGTCCGCGTATAACCTCCACTTCAAACACATTCGTCTTCTCATCAACTTCTATTGATGCCTTCAAAGCCATGTCATGAACAACAACAATATCCTCAATTTGAGTAATTGTAACCACATCCATCTCCTTCTTCTCTTGTTCCGAGACATCTTTGGAGTTTAGCTCGATTGTATTGTCAGATTCATCATCCTTAAGCGTCTTCGTATTTTCTTTTTCCTTCTCATCGACACTATTTTCCAGGTCTAAAGGATTTTTATCACTACAAATTTCAAACGGATTTTCTTTGTTGCAACCATTCTCGATATCGTCTGAAATATTTTCAAGAGATTTTTGGCGCTTGAATTCTTCCAACTGTAACTCCAGTCTTCGGATAGATGCTTGAGTGGATTTCATAAACTCTTCAAGGACGGAGTTCAAATAACACTCCTGAACAGTGGGTTCTCGTGGCGTGTTGGTGTATGTGTTCCAATAACCGACGTTGGTGTTATCTATGAAATTATTCGCTTTCGGTGCATACCAACATTGGTTAGTGTAATGATCTCCACCACATATTGAACAAAGTGACGGCATGTCACAGGTATTTTGGAGGTATTCGCGAGACGGAAGCCATTCATATCCCGTTTGAGGTGCGCGAAAATTGTAACCTGACATGTAACCAAAGAAAAAAAAATATATTAAAAAAATTAATTTGGGTGAATCGTGAAAATTGTTCAAATTTAGAGCTAGAATAAAATAAATAATTAAAATATTCCCCGGCAACGGCGCCAAAAACTTGTTGGCCGGTTACCTACACGCAAGTGCACGTATCGTACAAGTAATATAGTGGACTAAAAGTCCGGATATCGAACCCACAGGGAATATTTAATAATCTAATCCTAGATGCTAAATTCTACCAATTATTATCAAGCCCACCCTACACAGTCGAATTTTAGAGAGAATAAACTAAATTATATTAAAAGGCAAATTAAAACGACAAAGCAAGAAAGCAAATTAAACACGAAGATTTATGACAATAAACAAGCCTAGGATTTTATTCTTCCCCCTATGTGATTATTATTCCCCCAATTCCTTCAATTATGCAAGCAAGTAACCCGAATTATTAACCTGAGATGCTAAATTAATCATAACCCGCTTCCGCGTGTATTACGATTCTAATACTCTAGATTCAATTACTATATTCCTATGCAATTAATTCTAAAACACAACATTAAGCACAAATCTCAATAATGGCTACCTAAGAGATTAACTATATTCCTATGTTAATACCACAAAGGCTCTTCTACCGCAGTTCTAATTATTAACCCGATCTTTCGATTCATGCGATTAACAAAAACATAAAAGCACATAAGTTGATCAAGTTCATGCACTTAATAAAACAAGTAGAAGAACTTGGGGAAGAAGACAGCTTCCTTGTGCAATTAAAATTCCTTTACTGCGCAACTTCGGATTCTCGGACGGGGTCCCACGATTTGCACTAAAACTGGGACGGGGTCCGAGCTTTACATATTCAGAATTTTGATTTTTTCACTTTTGGCCCATATTTTCTCCAAAATTGCAGTTTTGACCCCATACTTTTCCAATTCTTCAATTTGTACCTAAAATACAATAAATCAACTTTTTAAGCACCAATTATCATTAAAACACACCAAAAGCTCAAATAAAAAGGTACGATAAAGTGTAAAAATATACACTTAACAATCTCCATCCAAAAACCAACCATCTCCAACCGTATATGTTATGTGTTGTTCTGATAATTTATGCTTTTCCCTTTGTTGATATTCTTAACAGAGTTAAAAACGTCTACCTATTTTATTTAATTTGTTTTTTTTTGTTTTTGTTTAATCTCCATCTGCATAATCCAAGTTTTGTTCTTTTGCAGGGACTGCGGTGAATCCTTGGCCGTATTTTTTCAGGTTTTACCAGGGTACTTTTACGTATTATATATGGTAAGTTTTTGTTTTATTAATTCTCAGTTTTTTTCAGTCATGGATTGCTTTTTGAAAAATAGTCGACATTTAAATTTTCGATGTTTTTTCCTTACAAGTTTCACAAACATGAAGCAACGTTATAGCATTATTGTTTTTTTGGGAAAAAAATCGATAATTTTATTAAGAATTACTATCGAGTCTCGCTGCATTTTTTCTCTCTGAAATATGTTCACATCTTTAAATTGTTCATTTTAAAATTTACATTTCTTTCTTCACAACAATGGCGCTGACATTTTTTAAGGAGGTGGAAATGGGGTAGTAGATAATTCATTAATGTTGGGTTTGATCTATTTCTTCCATTAGTGAGTTTTCGATGGATCTGTTGGAAAATGAATTCTCTTTTCGTTGTTTCTTTGATTTTTTCTGTTATATATATCAAAGAAATTTCGTATTATTTTCATTATGTGTGACCTGAATAATTAATGTAAGTTTTCCACTACTGAAACAAAATCTTTTCATATATTATGGGCATGAGCAGCACATTATACATTAACTTTCTCTAATAAAATTTTAGTGTGTGAGAAATGAATATTGTCTAACAAACGTAGACCAGTGTAGTATCTAATGTCGATGGAGGAATAGAAAGAGTGGCATATAGTTTATCAATGTTGAAAGAATCGATCGGTCACAAGAAACTTGAAGTCGCTGAATGTGATTTAGCAGGTTTTTTGGTCAATTTATGTTTTGTGGATATAAATAAATATGCATCAATGCATGCCTCAACAAACTGTTCTTTATTGAAATGTTGGACATATATGTTAACTTATTAAGTATATTACACGTCTCAAGAAACAAAGGTTGTGTTACAAGATGAATGTAGTTGTTTCTATTGGTTTTATTTGTAGTGGAGAATGTATCAATGAAAGATATAATAGAATAAAAGCCTCTGTTATTTATATTACTACGTGATTCTTTGTTTTATTTTATTTTATTTTATTTTATTTTCTATTTGTTTTATGTTCGAGTGATTTTTACGTTTTAATTTGAAAGTAGAAAACAACATTGAAAATTGAATTTTTATTCTGCATTAATTTTTTCAAACCCCGTGCATCGCACGGGTCAGATTACTAGTTAGCTTAAGAAGGGTGTAATAAGTAGAAGATGTAATTTAGGGTGGTAACCGAATGTTTTGATAGTACATAGGAGGTAAGTGAATGATTTCCATTAGTATATGGGAGGTAAATGAAATTAGCCCGAAAACTAAAGTACATTATGTTTCTAATACTCAGCTAAAAATCACATGCACGTTTACTTACATGTTTATGATATGTCACTGAAAAAAACTATTGGATTTATATGAAATAAATTTTATTTAAAAATTTAAGAAAATAAATTTTGACTTGTGAAAGAAAATATAATATATGAAAGATAATCATAATTTTAAGATAAAATAATATAAATGTTATCATTGATATTAGTAAGTAGTAATTAGTTTGAGTTTACATTATTATATTTTCACATTTGTGGAATTTATGTAATAAAAATTATATGAGAATTAATGTAAAATTTGCGACTACGTGAGGTATATAATGCTAATTTACTTAGGATAACAAGAGTTATTTTAAATAATTTTTTATATATGTATATGCTTATAATATTAAGATCATTCGAAAACTCTTCAAATGTAACTTTAAGGAAAAATTTGAAATTTAATGTATAAAAATAATTGCGAGAAAAAAGGTACAACTTTTTAAAATACCTTAAATTTATAATCAATCTTATTCAGTTACAATCACTGTTATTAGAACCGGGCCGGACACAAAACCGGTTAGACATTCGGGTCACAGTTGGACCGGTTCAACCGGGTTCGACCCGGGTTTTTTAATTTTTCAAAATTAAAATTATTTTATTAATTTTAATATTTTAAATTTATATTTTCATATATTTGTTTTATCTTTCACACCTTTTTCACCTTTATTTATATATAATTCATTTCATTTATTATTCCCCACATCAAATTTTTCTTATATATTTTTTATCTATCTCCTGTCTCCTCTTCTCTCTCTTCTCTCTATCTTCTCTTATCTCATCACCTTCTCCAAACTTCATCCCGTCTCTCTCCCTTTTCCTTTTACTTTTTCCTCTCTTTTTTTCATCTTCTTTTTCTCCCAGCGCAATCGAGCAAACAATTTCGAGTCACCCACAAGCAAATCCCTCTAATTCCGGTCACCCACAGCAGGGCCGGCCCAAGCCCAAGGCGGGCAAGGCCACCGCCTTGGGCCTCCGAAAATTTTAAATTTTTAGGGCCTCCAAATATGGAAAATTTCATTATATATATTTGTTTACGTATAATTTTCAAACAAATATGTAGCATTACTGGAAAAGAACGCTCTATGGACTTAATATGTCACAAGTTCGAATTCCTGTAGACATTGATTATTTTTAAATTTTTTTTTTCCTTGTTCTGGCCTAACTAAAAATAGCCATTTCTTGTTCTGGCCCAACTAAAAAAAAACAAAAAAAAAAAAAGTCTTAATTAAACATTCATAAAACAACAAAAGGGAATCAGACTCACTGTATCAGAAGGGAATAATACAGACCAACAATACACACGCACGCACACCACCAACTCACTGTATCAGAAGAAAGAAACAAGGGTTTCAACCCCAAAATAAAAAATAAAAAATAGAGGAAGATTGAAAAATACAACACAAAGATCGAGAGACAAAAGAATAAAAAATAGGTTTGTGCCTCCACTTTCATAATATTTCTTTTATCAATTTATTGTCCACTTGTCCTAATTTAATTTTTCTTTTTCTATTGATAATCAATGAGTTTGTACTTTGAGTTTAATAATTAGGTTCTTGTATTTTTTTATATTTTTTGTAGTGCTATGGGCCCTAGAAAATATGAGTGCGGGGATGCGAAAAGAAAGAAAAAACAAAGAATAGAAGAGTGTACAAACTCGCAAAAGGATGATATTTTTAAATTTTTTCCGCATATAAACCGAGTTCAAGATGAAGTTGTAGTTGAAGATGAAGTTGTGGCTGAAGATGAAGTTAATTTGGAAGAAGTACACGAGAATGAGGTTGACAATGAAGAAGGCATTCATGTTGTTGTCGATAATGAACAAAAGATCCAAACAAATAATATCGAAATTGGAGACGCTAGTGGGCTACCATTTGAAGAAGCAAAAGAAGATACGGAACAGTTGAACATAGACGACCCGGTAAATTGGATTAAGCTAGATCAGAAAATGAAGGACTTGATAGTAGAAAGAGGTCCTATACGAGCTGCGGATATCAACTTTGAGTACCCTCTTGATGATCAAGGTAGACATTTCTCTTTTGTGCATTATACGCAACAACTAACAAATGGAGAAAAACAAGAGAGGAAATGGTTAGTCTACTCAAAACTTGGAGATAAGATATTTTGTTTTTGTTGTAAATTGTTCAAGCAAGATGGAGTTAAAGTGCAATTGGCCACGGAAGGTTTTAATGCTTGGAAAAATATTTCAAGCAGGCTAAAGGGTCATGAATGCAGTAACGATCATATTATTTGCATGTGTCGGTGGATTGAAACTGAGACGAGAATGCGTAAAAGAGAAACAATTGATAAATCTTTGCAAGAAAAGATGAATAGAGAAAAGGACTATTGGCGACAAGTCCTATTAAGGATAATTGCTCTTGTTAAAACTCTTTCACAGCAAAACTTGGCATTACGTGGTAGTAATGAGACACTTTTCGAAGATGGCAATGGAAACTTTTTGAAATTCATTGAGATGATGGCAATATTTGATCCTATAATGCAGGAGCATGTCAGGCGAATACAAATGAGTGAGATTCACACTCATTATCTTGGTCCCAAAATTCAAAATGAATTGATCCAATTATTGGCAAACGAGGTCAAGTGCACGATAGTGGAGAAAATAAAAAAAGCAAAATATTTCTCAGTTATACTTGATTGTACTCCAGATTCTAGTCATGAAGAACAAATGACTCTTGTGATTCGATGTGTAGATGTTACGGTAAGTCCAGTGAAAGTGGAGGAGTACTTCTTGGGCTTTCTCAAAGTAGATGATACCACAGGACTTGGACTTTTCAGCGAACTTGAAGAGGCGTTAAAAAATCTTCAACTTGATATTAAAGATATAAGAGGCCAGGGATACGACAACGGTTCTAATATGAAAGGAAGACATAAAGGTGTGCAAAAAAGATTATTGGATCGAAATCCAAGAGCATTCTATGTACCATGCGGCTGCCACAGTCTCAATCTTGCACTCAGTGATATGGCTGGTTGTTGTTCACAAGGTAAAATTTTTTTTGGCATTATTCAGCGTATATATTGTTTGTTTTCAGCTTCAACAAAACGCTGGAGCATCTTAAAAGATAATGTGAGTGGCCTAACACTTAAGCCATTGTCACAAACACGATGGGAAAGTCGCCTTGAAAGCGTAAAACCATTACTTCTTCAAACCGAAGAAATAAGGAAGGCTTTATTGGATTTGGCTAATAGCAATGAAGATGGGCAGCAACCAGTGAGGCTCTTGGTTTCGTAACAAACGAGCTTGAGAATTTTGAGTTCTTATTAACTTTGGTTATTTGGTATGACTTATTATCATTTGTGAATATTGTTAGCAAGACTCTTCAAAATGAAGAAATGCATATGGATGTTGCTTTGGAACAGTTGAAAGGACTCATTATTCTCTTCGAAAAATACAGAGAAACCGGATATGAGAAGGCCAGGAATGAAGCTGAAGTTATAGCAAAAAAAATGGGTATTCAACCAATATTTCGAGAGAAACGAGTTACCCGTTGAAAAAAACACTTTGATGAGAACAACAATGAAGATGTTATCCTAACATCCGAAGAATCCTTTCGAATAAACTTTGTCTTCTTTGTGATTGATCAAGCTCTTACATCATTAAGGGTAAGATTTGAAGATTTTCAAAAGTTTGAAGACATGTTTGGTTTTCTGTGGAATATAAAAAAATGGAAACTTGTCGATGATGAAAGCTTGGAGAGTAGTTGTATGAAACTTGAAGAACATTTGAAATGTGGTACATTATCTGATGTTAATGGGCGAGATTTGTTTTCGGAATTGAGAATGTTAAGAGAACTTTTGCCAAAAGAGATTGAAAAGGCAATTGGAGTATTGAATTATTTGAAAGAAATGAACACTTGTTTCCCGAATGCATGGATTGCTTATAGAATACTCCTCACTGTACCTGTTACAGTTGCCTCTACAGAGAGAAGTTTCTCAAAGTTGAAGTTGCTTAAATCTTACCTTCGGTCAACTATGTCTCAAGAAAGACTGAATGGATTAGCTATTCTATCTATTGAAAAACATATTACAGGGAATCTTGATTTTACGAGCCTGATCGATAATTTTGCAGCTAAGAAGGCAAGAAAGATAATATTTTAATGATTGTTAAATGTATTTTTGTATTGAATATTTATGAATTATGGATTTAACTATATTATGTATTTTTTTATGTTGTTATTTTGTTATGTTTTTTTTTTTTTTAACATAATCATCGTTAAAGGGGCCTCGTTTTTCGTCTTTCCCCTTCTCCGCCTTGGGCCTCTCGGACTCTAGGACCGGCCCTGACCCACAGTCATATTTGTCGAATTCCGGCCACCCACAGTCTACTTCAACCAAATCCGACCACCCCAGTGAATTACGCTCCGGTTCCACCACCAACAGCCGCCGACGAAGTGTTTCAGATGAAAACCCGGGTCTTTGACCGGTTTCCGGGTTCACCGGTTTTTGCCGGTCGAACCGGATTTTTTGGCATTTGACCCGGGTTCTCGATTTTTCCGGTTTTGGACATCAAACCGGACCGCTTTTGTGCCGGGTCGCGGTCGGACCGGGTTGACCGGCCGGTCCGGTCCGGTTCCGATATCATTGGTTACAACTATTTTTTTTAATAATTTCTAGGCATATTTGTTATAAATTAGTATTTATTTTTTATTTGATTTTATTATTTTTTAAAATTCCTTAATTAACTTGATTTCTATAATGAAAATTTCACCACATTTGAAAACTTAAAGTACATTATGTTTCTAATAAAGCTAAAAATAAAAATCACATGAACGTTCACTTATATGTTTATGATATGTCACTGAAAAACTCTCTTATGAGTTGTATATGAAATAAATTTTATTTAAAAATTTAAGAAAATATACTTCAATTTTTGAAAGAAATTATAATATAGGAATAGATTATCATACTTTTAATACAACATAATATAAATATTATTATTTGTATTTGTAAAGACTAATTAGTTTAGTTTACATTATTATATTTTTATATTTGTGGAATTTACGTAATAAAAATTCTATGAGAACAAATTTCAAATTCAAAACTATAATGCTAACATAAAACAAAAGGATTTATTTTAAATTCTCTTTTACATATATATGCTTATAATTTATCATTGGGAATAATTACAATAAGAAGAAAATAAACTCATCTTAGTATAAATTTAGCATAGAAAAAACACTTGACATTTAAACTACATCATTACGCTATGTTAATTTATTTTTTTCATTACTGTCATTACACAATTGACCCTAACTAATTAATGGTATAACTTAGGGATTGAAATTAGAACGGAATTTTCGAATTCCGCCAATTTCGATCAAAAAATATGCGAATTTGGAAGCCTTTTTTTCATTCCGATTTCCAATTATTTTTGGAACGGAATTGCATTACATATAAAATTGTTGGAAATTCCGATTTCCGATCCAATTTATTTCCGATGTATATAACATTATATATATTTTGTATCTTTGTAATATAATTTAGATATATATTATATAAAAATATAAATATACCCAATTGGGCCAAGTAAGAGCCTAAGAGCATCTCCTGTTGAGATGGGGAGGGCTGGAGGTGGGGTTGGGGTCATGCCTGCAATGGTGGGGCTGGGGTGGGGGGCTTGTTAGGATAGTAGACAAAAAGTCTCGCTTTTAGCTATATAATTTTATTATTGTTTTAATAAAATAGTTTATTATCATTTTATGAGAATCTGCACTGGGGTATTCAATGCATTTAATTGATTGTTTGTCTATTAATTAAAAGTATAAGTCTAATATTCTAATAGTATTCGAGATGGTGTGCTACGGCGCACAGGAAGATCATTTCGAAAGTTCGTTTAGAATATAAAGATAACGTTCACAATCTAGATGGAAATGGACTAACCATTGGTAAAAGATTGTAGCATAATATTTAAGTGATTGGTCTTGATCACAGTAAACAGAGAATAACTTTTGTAGTTATTGTTTTGACTTATTGTGCTAGCACACCCGGCATGTGTTGAACCGGACAAAGTGAAATAATTGTTTCATTACTGTTCAAAATGAAACTGTATTATTTCTAGTTGAGAGTAAATTACTTGTTGGAATTTTCATGATTTCCAATAATTAATATTGAGTAATATAAATTTAATTATGTAACGATTAATTTCATTTATTTACTTGATCAAAATCATGAAGTAAAGTGAATGAAAATTGTCTTGATTAAATGGTTAAAGTTCAAAAGATGTGCGCTCGGTGTGATCGAGTGATAGGACTAGTTTGGGTTTAGATGTCCACAAATATTACTTTCGGGGACATTTAGTAATTAGTCAAATTAAATGACCCAAAATCTAAATAATAAAATATTTGGCCCAAACCAAATATTTAATTAATTGGCCCATGACCAATTAATTTTCCTACGCTTTTTGAACTCGTAAAAAGAAGAGACACAACCTTCTGCTTCTTCTTCAACCATTGCAACTCTCCATGAATGGATCTCCACCGCCTATAAATAAAGGCAGAATCTGGCCAATTCTGGACTAAATTTTAATCGGCAATTAAGAGATAGTTCTTCATATTCTTCTTTTTCTTCGTCAGAGTTTCGTTCGTTGTTCTAGCTCGCCGTATGTCGAATATTCGTGCAAATATTCTGCAACCGATCGTTGTACCTTGGGAGATTACCGGGAAGAGACTGTGCACCATTGACAGCCCGGAAATATTGTCTTAAGGGAATTGCTTTGGCAAGCCTCGATCGTTCTTTGTGGTTTTTACAATTCCTCTTTTCGACAAACAAGTAAGTATTTTTCATTTACGCATATTGTTATATATATATACCAACATTACTTACTCTCTTAATCCCTAGATAATTAACGTACATATTTAATTGATGATCTCTACTTTGATGTCACAATGGGAGATATTCCTATATTGAGTCAAATGGCCCCCGGTGCGTTGGGTAGAGACATTAAGAATTAATAGGTGGAAATTAATTATCGAAAGGAATCCACATCTCTGAAATATGAGATTGATAATAACCTTTGAGTAGCTTATAAAATTTGCTTATGCCAAGTCCTGGCCAGGTAGATTTCGTATCTGGCATACTCAAATAAGTTAAGTGGGTAAGACTCATGGAAAGAAACCATTTAATTTATTTAGTGAATAAATTATTTGGTGGTTATAAGATATCTTAATGTGGGGAGAATCTAAGTAATGATCGACCGGAGCTCGAATGTAATATTTGAGAATATAAACGGGAGTTCAAATATTTGGTAGTGGAAAATAAATAATTATTTAATGATTAATTAAATGAATTCTTTTAAGAGTTTGGATTTAATTAATTATTAGTTGCCCGATTTATATTTTCTCCTTTAGTTCCTATTATAGCCCAATGGATTTTCTAATTAATCGAGAAAATTAAGTTCAACCAATATTACATATTGGAATTAATATAGGCGAAAAATTAAGTCCCCTTTGGAATGTAATTTTCGACTATATGGAGTTATAGAAGGAGTGGATTTGTTTCCATATAATCCTCTCTAATTGTGACTCTAATTCCTTGTGCTATATATAATAGAGATTAGGTTGATGAGAGGACACTTTTTCTACAGGCCTATTTCACGTGAAGAGAAAATATTTTTTCTCTTCTTCTTTTCTCTCTGAGTTTCTCGATTATATATTTAGATTTCTTCAAGTACAAGTCCACCCATGTAGAAGAATTATTAATAGATTTAGATTTCTTCAAGTACAAGTTAGAGCCGGCCTTGGGCGTAAGCCGGGGAAGCCTTGGCTTAGGGCCCCATCCCACAAGAGGGCCCCACAATTTTTTTCATAAACCACTACATGGCCCCAATAATTAGTTATATAGCACATTTTAGTCCTTAAATATTTTATTAAATGTTGTTTTAAACTATACGTTAATGGAATATTTTATAATCTCAACTATTCAAAAAATATAAAAATCTAAAGATCAATTTAAATATTGTGTTTTGAAGATAATATTATTTATAAATTAATTATATAAGTACTTATAGTATGTTATTAATATCCAAATGTATATGCCAATTTTTTTAAGATTATAATTACATCTTAAACCAAACATCCATATCACAAAAAGATTGAAACGAACTGTTGTTGGTTGAGACGAACAATATAATGATCAATATATGTACTTTTAATAATTTTGATCAACGATTGTTTTTTTTGCTTCCCGTAATGTGTTGTTTCTGCATGAAATAGATGCATATGTCATTATGTCATGAAATGTTTTTACAACGCCAACAACATTAAGGTTCGTATTTGCTATATTTCAAATTCATATTGTTATTTTCAATAAAAGAGAAAAAAATTTATTTATTAAATAAGATATTTGTTAAAAATGTGTTCCAATGACGATACAATTTAGATACTATTTAAAAAAATCAAATCGATAATGTTAAACTCTGCTTAGGGCCCCCAAATTCTCAGGACCGGCTCTGGTACAAGTCCACCCTTGTAGAAAAATTATTAATCCGGGATATACAATAGAAGATTATAGGTTTTTAGAGCAAACTATAATTCCCAAATTTTCTGAGCAGTCCTGCGAAGAAAATCACCATAAATCAACCGTTAGTCGGATATGTTCGAAATTTATACCGTAGCCTAACCCTTAGTTCTACAATCCTTCCAAATGGTTTCTCGATCGGTTCAACGGTCCCGGAGATATCGGTGAAGGAAGAGGACTGGAAAATTCTGGACAACAGTTCTTCGAGGATTGAAGGCTTGGTGTGGATCCTCGTTCATGCGCCGAAAATAGAAACGGATCTGCTCGCGAAAACTGTAAGTTGCTAGATTAGATTTATTCCGCTTTAAATAAATCTAATCAAAGCATGTTAATAAAATTAAAACCGACTAATCTAGAATCTATTGCGAATTTTCATTGAATCCTGGGCTTCGCATCCCAACAGGGGTGGGGTGGCTCGCTGGGTCATTTGAGCCCAGGCATCAGCCCTGTGCTCTCACGCGTTGCCTCCATCGTATTCCTCAATCTCCTCTTTTTTTTTCCTTGTTTTTCTTTTCCTATCACGTGACTCACTAGAAGTCTTTTCTTTCTCTTTTTTTGCCTCTCTTTTTGCTTCTTTGATTTTCTTTATTTATTTTTAGTTTTTTTTCTTCTTATTTGTTAGTTTCTTTTATTTTAGTTTTCTCTTGTTTTTTAATTTGTCTAATCTGATATTTTATTTCAATAATAATAATAATAATAATAATAATAATAATAATAATAATAATAATAATAATAATAATAATAATAATAATAATAATAATAATAATAATAATAATAATAATAATAATAATAATAATAATAATAATAATAATAATAATAATAATAATAATAATAATAATAATAATAATAATAATAATAATAATAATACTAATAATAATAATCGAGAAGTCAAAGCCGGAAACTGGCGGCAAAAAAATAATTTTAGGAAAAAAAAGTTGTAAAAAAAAGTCAAAATTGATTAAATTGGGGTTACAATTAAGAATTGAGTGTAAAGGGTGGGGTAATTTTGTCATATACATTAATATTTTTTTTATTTATAATACATATTAAAGGGATGGATCTATTGGCGAAAGAGATATAATTAATAAAAATAGTTGGTCAGTGACTTGTTCACAAAACACCTATTTGGATTGGTATTTATCTCTATGATTTATCTTAAATTTTAAAAACAATTTAATTTATACCCAATTTGATTGATCAATTTAAGTAACCAATTATTTCGCCTTGATCAAGGGGGCGGGTAGAAAACATACATCAAGAAAATATTGATAAAAAACAAGAGTATTCAGGAACTCTTAAGATAAGGAAAAAAGAGGGAAGTCTTGCACCTTACCAGTATAAAAGGCAGCAATTTTTCAGATCCATGGAGATATCCTTACGGAGCTCCAAGTAAACGGGGATGCCCTGAGGCTCATCTCCTTGGCAAATTCCGGAAGAGTTATTCTTCCTTTTTTCTTGGGATGAGGCCTGTCGGGGACTCGGTTACAGTTATCTCATCGTCGGCAGTGACGATACCGCCGGCTCGGTCAGGCCTACAACATGAATGTTTTCCCCGGCCTCGGCATTGTCGACGAAAAGGGATTTCATTTTTATGGTTTCGCGAAAAACAAAGATGTGATAATCAAATGTATGGAATACACAAATATAAGAAGGGTTAATAGATGCAGAAATATATTATGTATGTTAGAATAGGGTTCCAAATGGTTCGTTTGGGAAAAGATTTTGTAAGCGAGATTTTTATGCCGGGATATTTGGTGGAGCAATTGAAGCTGATTGCAAAGAAATATGCATCTTTATATTTTGATTATAGCTTGTGGTCAAGCTTTTGTGAAGAAGAGGAGATTGATAAGAAAACGTCAAATTGGATTCGAATTGCAAACTATTTAATTCGGAGAAGAGTTATTAATGGGCATTGGTGATAATATCGAAAGAAATTATGGAAACATAAGGGTTTTCTACGAACTCAATTGCATGTGAGTACAAAACGAACTCTATCTCAAGTGAAGCGGCGCAAGGAACAAAACACATGAGCAAAGCTCATGAATCACGTCAAATTTCAGCAATCTAACAAAAATCAGGAGAAGAGGTCATGAATCAAGTCAAATTTCAGCAATCCAACGTCGTTTAAACTCTTAAAAGTTCTTTTTTCCTATTTTAGGCAAGCTTTAGAAAATTAATATCAAATTATAGAAAAATCGTATCAGGATTCCGTAAATTGGTTTGTTCCCAAAATTACGAGATCTACTAGAATCAGGCTCTAACTCGTTTTGCCGGTTTTGGTAATTTTTAGTATTTTCTTAGTTTTATTAGGGTTTCAGTTTGAAGTATAAATATATGCTTAGGACTTTATTCTAGGAAGAATTTCGAATTTTAATAAAATCTTTAAAGTTTTATCTATCTTCTGGTGGACTCATGAGTTTTCGGTGGATTCGAAATATTATTTTGTTCTATAGGATTAATTCATAGAAATTAATTATTTACCGTGCTTCCGTTCTACGTCAATCACTCTTAATAAGTTAATTAAAAAATAATTAATGACAATAGTATTTTTGTATTACTATGTTACTTTTGGTATAATCTATGCATATTTATCTTAATATACGCACAACCACCCAAAACGTCATATAATATGGGACAGTGGTAGTATGCTATAACTTATTCAACATTTAAATAGTGTTTTAGCAAGCTAGTTTTTACCATTTTATCCAACCATACCATCTATTATTTAGCATTTTATTGAAGAAAATGACTTAAATGAACATTGAGTTTAATTCTTACGGGCGGGAGGTGTGGGTGGGTGCACCATATTTTAATATGGACACTTTACAAATAAGCTCATTAATGGGTATTATTCATAAATGATCCAGACAAAAACTCTTTTGCAAAAAATCCACACATTGTCCAGAAGTTTGAAAAATACTAAAATAGCCCCTCACATTTTAATATGCTCAAATTTCATCTTTTAATTTAATATAACCTCAATTTGACCCCAAATTTCACAAATTATTCAATTTTGACTCAAAACACATTTTTATGAACAATTTCGTATGTCGTCACCGTTGACCGCCGGTCTATGATGTTTAATTTCTTTTATCTTCTTTATTTTTCCGGCGTTGACTTTTCAATTTTGTTTTCTTTAACATCTTTTTGCCCCCCGTTTAAACATCAATATTGTTGTGGTTGACATAAATATTAACTATATTACTGTTAAACACAATAATATTAACTATAGTTTAACACAGTCATATTGCTATATTAATCTCTAACACAGTAATATTAACACAACAAAAGTCATTATTATGTAATATAGTAATATTAATATGTTGACCGTTCAACAAATGTAATATTTTATATACTACAACTTAACACAGTAATATTGATATATTACCGTCAACCACAGTAATATTATTGTGTTTTACAATAATATTACAATAGTAAACAATAATATTATTACGTTACTCCGTCAACAACTCAAACAAAACAAAAAAAAAACGCAAAAAATAATAATATTAATGTGGTTGACAGTAATATTATTGTGTTTACAGTTATTTTACTATCAACAACAGTAATATAATTATGTTGACTTGTCAACAAATCAATCAAAAAAAAACTCAAAAAAATAATAATATTGTCGTTGACTCTTATTGTACTGTCACGACAGTTACAGAAATGTACTGTCAACGACAGTACAATTACGTTAATGTACTGTTAGTGACAGTATAATTACTGTTAATGATAGTACTACTAGAGTCAATGTTTAGCGACGGGCGTAAAAGAACGGATACAAATTTTAGAAGGAAAATAATAACTAAAGAAAGTCAACGCCGGAGACTAGTGGCAAAAAAATAATATAAGGAAAAAAAAGGGAAAAAAAATCAAATTTGGATTTTTGCGGTCAAAATTGATTAAATTGGGGTTACAATTAAGAATTGGGTGGAAAGAGTTGGGGTAATTTTATCATATAAATTAAATTTTCTTTTATTTATAATATATATTAAAGGGATGAGTTTATTGGCTAAAGAGATATAAAAACCCCTTTTAATATTATTTGAGCATACCATTTGTGAATATTATATAGATAGTTCTTGGTTATGAGATTTTAGCAAACAAGCTAAATTATACCACATCTCTTTAAAAACTGTATTTTAACATTTACTTTCTTCTGAGTTGACCAACCGCCGAGGGCAGTTAACCCCCGTGATTTTTTCGAGGAATCAAAGTTGATTTTGTCAATGAATGTTGATTGTTGTATTTTAAACTTACACACTTGTTTATCTCGATTGATGCGACAAAATAAATCGCACTTCTAACGTAGTACATAAGACATTCTGACCTAGTCGAAGTAAAATTTCTACGTTCAAACATGACAATTCGAGTAGAGGAGCATAAGTTACGTCCGAGTTGCAGTATATAACGCAGTACATAAAAATTGACTGAAAATTGCTATCAGTATTTGCGATTCACCACTACAAGTTTACATCGAAGTGGAAGTATTACAACAAAAAGCAACCTTATCGGATCCAATACAAACTGCGTTATTTGATACAAGACAAAGGCAAAACAAAGGAGTAACAAACGTAATATGAAGTTCCACAAACAACAAAAACTCCACTACATCAAAGTGAGAAACCTTCCTTTTATGCCCTAAGCAGATGCACTCCCAACGAAATTGTGCAAATCATAAGCCCAAAAATGGCAATGAAATTATATTTCCTGCATTCGGAAAAGAAAGGGTTAACACAGTCAAAAATACTCCCCGAGTATAAAACTTAGCAGTGCAAATCAATGTCACAAGTCTTAAATCAGGTTGTGCATAAATAAATTTTAAAAACGAATAAGTCAACAAAAACGAAATCAACCACTCTCAAATAGAATAACAGAAGATGCGTCTAAATATAAGGCTTAGTCAATATTGACTTTAAAAATCATTGAGCAACATGGCTTTGATGCCCAATTCATTGGGCAAAAAAATAATACCAACAACGGTGCCCAAATACGGGCATATTCAAATACGAAGAAATCTCCTCTTACCACAAAATCAAGAATTTCTTGATAAATCCTATGAGGCATATTAAAATATCATATTTACTACGGCCTCGTTTGGTTAGGAAGATTAGCCATTATTAACTGAATAATTGGAATTTATTTGATGTTTGGTATCCTCGAAAACTTGCCGAGTCGACCCGCAAATATTATATTATCATGGCTTATCTTGTCTTATCATGCCTTTTATGGAGTTTTTTCCTTGCACGTTCCAGGATCCGATAAAGTAATTGGGTCTTCATTGAATTATTTAATCTTATCCTGACAACCAAACGAGGCCTACGTGCATTTGCAATATCACTTGGCCTTGTGTTTGGTTGGTTCTCAAGATAAGATTATGAGATCCCAATTATATAGACGGGCCAATATACAATACAATGGCTATTTGAGCCAAAATTCAGTTATCTAAGTACGAAATTCTCGACATTACTACAATTTTTAGATAATTCACAAAATGTTTGAGGTTACTAACCCGATGGAAAGACGATTTTTAGGTACACCGGTGGAGTAGCCTTTGAAATAGAAAATTCGAGTGAAGGTGTAAAAAAGTCCGAGCGACGCAGAAACGAGAGGGTGCCTAATCCCTCCCAATACCGTCAGCAGGAAAAATGTGGGCATCATTTCCAGTGAATTCTGGTGACCTCTCTGTAAACCAAATCAATTAAAATTAAAAATTAAAAATTAAAAAAAAAAAAATCAGAATACACAGAAGCTCAAATCAAATTGGTATGCAATCAATACCAATTAATTCCATGAAATTGGGCAATAAATAAATCAAAATTAAATAAAAGTAAAATGTACCTGGACACAGTTAAAGAGATTGTAATCCTTGGTATCATCTGCAGTTGCGTACATGATGGGATACATCACCTTATACCTGTATTCACAAAAATTACATCTCAAGAACCCTAATTTGGAAGAAAATAAATAAATTAGAGAGAGAGAGAGATAGAGAGAGAAAATTACTTGCGGCGAGCTTTACCCACTTGCAAAGCCATCCAGACATTGACAAGGCCGTACAGAACGAGAACAAGAACAACGTATCCGTACTCTTTCGGCAGCAGTAATTCCACTCCGGCCATTCTCGATTTCTTCTTCTTTTCTTTTTTTTCTGTTTTCTGATTGGTTAGAATTTGAGGGGAGAGGAAATGTTTGATAATTGATTTGATGGATTTATTCGACGCTCTTGTTTCGATTTAAATAGGCGGTATTTTCGGTTTAATTTATCCGGTTTAGCTTTTTTCCCAAGGCAGATTGTTGACTTTTTATGTAATGTGTAGAGGTGCCTTTTTAATTGCAGATTGCATACGTCATTGCTCGCATAGTTCTCCTTTCATAAGAAATACAATTTGCATCATGGGAACAATCTAGATTCTAGACTATACTTGTCATTTTAACTTTTTTCTGTTTGTTTTTTTTTTTTTTTTTTGTTTAAATTCCACTTTCCCACCTTGTATTTTGGCTGGATATCACTTTACCCATTTGTACTCTCAATTGCATCGATTTGCCCTCTTGTACTTTGGCTCGATATCACTTTATCCCTTCTACTCTCAATTCATCGATTTGCCCCCTATACTTTGGTTCGATATCATTTTACCCTCTTCTACTCTCAATTGCATCAATTTGCCCCATGTACTTGAAAAATTGTCTCAATGTGGACCTTACCGTTAGTCTTTAGATTTTCGACATTAACACCGTTTGATCTAAGTTTGAAAATTACAAAAAGCCACCCCTCCCTGTTTAAATAATTATTAATAAAATTAAAAAATAAAAACAAATTGTGGCTGGCGTCGCGGACTATGTTTTCTCGTTTTCTTGAATTTTTTATTATTTTAATTTTTGTTTATTATTTTTTTTTTTATTTTTTAATAATTATTTAAACTGGAGGGGTGACATTTTAGTAATTTCAGACTTAAATTAAACAGTGTTAAGGTCAAATGTCTGAAAACTAACGACGAGGGTCACACTGAGACAAATTTTCAAGTATAGGGGCAAATCGATGCAATTGAGAGTATAAGGGGGTCAAGTGATATCGAGCCAAAGCACAAAGAGGCAAATCGATGAATTGGGCGTAGAAGGGGGTAAAGTGATATCGAACCAATGTACAGGGAGGTAAATCAATGTAATTAAGAGTCAAGTGGTAAAGCGATATCCAGCTAAAGTACAAGGGGAGAAAGTGAAATTTACCCTTTTATTTTTTTTTTTGCTAAACTTATTATAGGATTATTTGTGAAAATCCGCCAATACATTGACTATAATAAATTAATAATAAGAAATACATTGAGTATCATAAGGGTGGATTCATCTCTTTTTTCTTTATTAATGAAAAACCATTTTTTATTTAATTAATTAAATATTTAGCAAGTTACTACTCAATATACTTAAACCCATTGTGGTTTAGAAATTTTGGCACATGACCCCCTTATGGTATGAAATAAGGCATATAACCCCCTTGTGGTTTTGATATTTTGCACATGATCCCCTTATGATATGAAATTAGGCACATAACGCGCTTGTGGTTTTGACAATTTGCTCATGACCCCTTATGGTATGAAATTAGGCACATAACCCATTTGTGGTTTTGACATTTTGCACATGACCCCTTATAGTATGAAATTAGGTACATAACCCCCTTGAATATAAAACTGGAAAAGCCTAAATTACCCCTAAAGAATAAAGACTTTGTTTCTTAAAAAAATGAAATTCGATAACAGCTATAATATAATATATTATATAGAAAATAGTAAATAATAATCATAATTAATAATAATATTAAAGCTTTGAAATATGTAGAATTATTTTACCAACTTATAATTAGAACAAATAAATTGATAGTTAATTATTTTATATCGAGTTTAATCCTTTTATATTTGATTTGTAGAATATGAGTTTTCAAATTGGTTTCTAAAATTGAATAAATTGTCAATCGTACAATAACTAGTATTATATACTTTTCGTGTTGTAAAATTAAAAAAAAAAGACAATAATATATTATATTTCGGGGTAAGTACATATAAATCCCCAAACACAAACTTAAAGTGCGGATCAGTCCCTACAGACGTTTCATAAGCGTATCAGTCCCTAATGCAAAGTTTCACATGCAGTTCAGTCTCTAGAGGCAGGTGAAAATTCTAAAATACCCTTTACTTTAATATAAAATTACATACCTTTTCATTTTCTCTCTCTTTTTTTCTCTTTCTTCTCTCTTTCCTCTTTCCTCTTTTTCTATGTCTCTTCTCTTTCTCATTTTCTTGCCCGTTCCAATTCAATTTTATGTTATTTTTCTTCAAACAATTCAAACGAAAATGAACACGAAAAGGCGCAAGAAAACAAACTCCTAAATCAATACAAATGAAGCAACAAGAACAAAGAAAAGGAAGAACCAAAGTAGTAGAAGAAGAAAAAAAATAAGAAGAAAAAAGGAAAGAGACCAATTTTCGAAGAATGGTGAATGGGAAGAAATAAGATTTGATTTGTTTCCCCTAATCATGAAATCGATTCCAATATATGTTGTTTTGTTGTTTTGTTGTTCGAGTTTGCATATATTTCTCGAGATAAAAAGCAGTTTCGCAAATAGACTAATCCCCATATGTTTTGTCTAAAATACCCATCATAGTATAATTTTCAACAATTTCACCATTGTACTATAACTTCATCAATATTGCACATTGATCCTGAATTTGAACAATTATATCACATTAACCATTTTCATAATTTTTTGAATTTTTTTTAGAAAATAATTTTTTTTCTTGCTAGATTCCGGCGTTGAGGTTTTCTTTATTTATTTTTTTCCTGAAATATTTTTTTCCGGCCGGTCAGCCGCCGTTGATCAGTAGTCTCCGACGTTAACTGATTTTTTTTTGTTGGAAACTTTTTGTTTCTTAATTTTTTTTCTCCCTAAATTAGTGTGTTAACAACGAAATTTAGTAATATTGAATGCCAAAATAGTAGTAATATTACTAATAATAATATTACTGGCCTAAACAGTAATACTACTGCAGGAGACGGTAATATTACTATTGGAGACATCAATATTGCATGCTAATACGATAAAATTAAATTAATTAATATATTAATATTACTGTGTTAACAACAATATTATCGTATGTGACGATAATACTACAATTAGGACAATAATATTAATATTGACACAATAATATTACTGTCTACAATAATACTCTCTCCGACATTAATATTGCAGTCCAAAACAGTAATATTAATGAAAATAGTTTCATTAATAATTTTGTGTTGCTTGTTATTTATTAGGGAAAATGAGGGATAACCCCCCAATCCACAAAATAATAGAGTCCAGGCCCATTTTAATATTTACCATTTGTAAAGAAATTTAAAATTAACATTAAGAATTGTGAGACCCCCTCACGTGTTTATTATTCCAATTTGTCATTTCTTGCCCCACTCTTTCTCTCTCTACCCCCCTATCTTCTCAACCGTCATTTTGACGTATTGTTCTTTTATTATTTTTCTTCTCTCTCCTCTCTCATCTCTCTTCCACAATTTCCTCTCTTCTCGAATCTTTTTCTGTTATTCCTTCTCTCCCTCTCTCCTCTCTCCTCTCTCCTCTCTCTCTCTCCTCTCTCTCTCTCCTTTTTCTTCCCTGATTTCCTCTGTTCTCGTATCTTTCTGTTTCATTTTTTCTCTTTATTTTTCTCTATTTCTTCTCACTACTTTATCATTTCTTCTACATCTCATTTTTTTTGTCGTTGCAATCAATCTATTTTCTACTCTATGAAATTCATGTATTCACCGGAGATGAGATTTTTATCATGAGTATTCAATTCAATTTTATAACACCATAATATCTTAAATTGAAAAATAATATAGTGAATTAATAGAAAAATTATAGATGACTACCAATTTTTTTATAGTTGACATCGGAACAAATATAGGTGACTATCTAATTTTTGTAGTTGACTCTGGCAACAATATAGTTAACTACCATTTTTTTATAGTTGACATCGTAAAAATTATAGTTGACTATCTAATTTTTTATAGTTGACTTCGGAAAAAATATAGTGAACTATCCGATTTTATAGTTGACTCTGAGTGTAGATTACTACAATATTTTATGTTTTTCGACAACAATGATCTCCTCTTTGTTGTGGACTCTTGATAAAACAAATTTCATAGGAAACAAATATTTATGATTCAACAAATAGTGCGACCATAGATCTGTAGATCTAAAAAACAATCGTGTTTACATACTCCATTTTTGAGTAATCAACCATGGAAGAATTCCGAACCGTCGCATATGGTCGTCGCGTACCGTTGCATACCGTTTCTGTTGGAGACTTCGATTTTGTCCTTTGAAGTCGCTGAAGAGGGTGTCAAAAACAGAAATTATGTGGTAAATGTACATAAATTAGGTTAATCGACGTCGAGGGGAGCGATGAGTGTATAGGAAACTACCTGTCTTCTTCTTGCTACCTTTCACCATTGTTGTTGACCTGTATTTCTCAACGATTCTCACACAGATGTTATTTGTGTTTTTTTTTTTTTGAAGAAATGTAGCAAACTAGGGCATTGTTGCAACTGGAAAATGATCCGATATATTTGCAGATTTGTTTTTGGCGATTTTCTTGGCACAAATATAGCACCGTAGCAGAAATTAAGGAGAAATTATTTTGATGAAACAGTTGAAGATATGGGGGGTCATTGCTATTAGAAATTATGGGGTAGTTCAGTAATTGCTAATTGTGAGAGGGTTTAACCCATTATGGGTCAAAATAATGTAAGATGGTTAGTCCTAATCTATGTTTGGTAAGCTTTTGGGCTTCCGTTTCCATTTTATTCTGGAGAAAGGTGTTTTAGGAGAAGAATATAGAAATAAAATAAAGTTTGTTTGTGTTTTGAGAGGAGACAATTTGTACTGTAGCAAGTCAAATCATGAGTGAAAGATGTTGGGAAAATGTATTTTGGAAGAAGAATTTAAAAGATAAAGTGATTTGATTTTGTATTTTAGTGAAGACAATTTTCACAGTAGCGGTCAAATCATGTTTGTTATAGAGAGAAATATTTGAATTTGTTTTGGTGAAAGTTTTTGAAAATAATGTAGAAAGATAATTTTCATTTTGGGAAAAATATGAAAAGAATTCGAAAACGTTACCGAACATAGCCAATATTTTTACAAATGAGGGGGTTATATCTTATTAACCCTATTTATTATGATTATTAGCAACGGTCATTTGTGTGTTTTCATGTGTAGCTGTCTCATACTCTGCAACTCCAATTCCTGAATATTCAAATTTCAATCGTCTTCTTCTACTCCTCCACCCATAACTCCAATTCCTGAATATTCAAATTTCAATCGTCTTCTTCTACTCCTCCACCCATAGCAGAGAAACAAAATCCAGTAGTAGCATTCAAAAGCTTCGGTATCATAAATGGCGGCTTATGCAGCTTTAGTTTCACTTACGAATACCATGGATCAGATCCCATGGCGTTACTATTATTACAAGCAAACAATTCGAAATTTTGGAGAGCCAAATTGCAGCTGCAGCCTATGCAGCTGAAGATGTAATCGAATCTCACGTGATCGACCGAATTCACGCAATGGAAGATGCCAGAAGGTATTCGGCACGACTACTCCGTTACCTCAAGAAAGCTGTAACTACTGAATCTGATCCATTGCACCAAATTCACGGTGGTTCGGTTTCATCGGTCGATCTCCAAACGGTAATCGAAGAAATCGATTCGATCAAGAATACGGTTATGGGGTTCAAAGATGAAATTGGATCCAAAGACGATCATTTTACGCAGCCCAAGTGTTCGATGGTGACTACTACATCGACGACACCGGGGAAGAATACTATGGTCGGATTTGACGAACAGTTGCTTCGACTTTTGGACAAGCTCACCGGTCAACAATCTAATCGGCAAGTAATTCCAATTGTAGGCATGGGCGGCATTGGTAAGACTACTCTCGCCAAAAATACCTACGAACATTCACTTATTATGCACCATTTTGATATTCGTACTTGGGTTACTATATCTCCAAAGTATAATGTCAAAGAACTTCTCTTACAACTTCTTTCGGAAAAAAATAGTCAAATAGATGAGCAGTTATTAGGACAAAAGTTACATAAAATGCTATGGGGTCGGAGATATTTGATTGTAATCGATGATATTTGGAGTATTGAAGCTTGGGAGGAGGTAAGTCGTTTCTTTCCTGACAACAATAATGGAAGTCGAATTGTTGTGACTGCAAGGATATCAAATGTGGCTACTCACTTCAACTCTACGTGCTTCGAGTTGACTTTTCTAGATGAGGATAAAAGTTGGAAACTATTTTGTGAAAAAGCATTTGGTCAAGTCGGTTGCCCTTCCGAGCTAGAGGATATTGGAAAGGAGATTGTTAAGAAATGCAAAGGACTTCCCCTTTCGATTTCTGTGATTGGTGGGCTTCTTGGAAGATCCAACAGAACGCATAAGTACTGGAAAAATATTGCAAAAGATCTAACCTCGATTCTCAACTCTGGAGAGGACGAGAATTGCTTGAGTATAGTATCTTTGAGTTACACCTACTTGCCTGTCTATCTTAAACCATGTTTTCTATACATGGGAATTTTTCCAGAAGACCATAAGATTCGTGTCTCCCGACTGATCAAACTTTGGGTAGCCGAAGGGTTTATAAAATTGAATAAACCGCAAAGCTTGAAAGATATCGCACGAGGTTACTTAAATGATCTCGTTGATAGGAATCTCATTTTGAAACATAAGTTGGGATCAAATGGAAGAATTAAATTTTGTAAGATCTTTTGAGAGATTTATGTCTAAAGATAGTTCAGAAAGACAAGTTTATGTGTATGATGGAAGAAAATCCGGGAGGAGTAGAAAGGGAACGTCGTATTGTATGTAACAGAAAGGGGGTCCGTCGTCATACTTTGCAATTAGCACCACTTACCCGTACTTTGGTAACGAGCACAGATGGTCGATTGTCCAGCAATAGATTGTTGAGAGTAATGTCTTTCAACGATAAAGCGAAGAAAAAGTATTTACACTGGCATATTGTTGACCAAGTTAACATGCGATATCTTGCTTATAACGAATTCAATTACTCCTCTTCTTCTGTCAAGCTTCCTACGTCGATAGACGTACTCTGGAATTTGCAAACAATAATTATTGGAAGGGAAATCGAAGCGCCATCTCAAATTTGGGAGATGCGACAACTTATCCATGTGAATATTCGTAAGTTATACCTTCCCGATCCTCCTCAGAATAAAAAACAGGATGAGTTTGTTTTGCAGAATCTGCAGAAACTCGGGAATGTAACAAACTTCGTGTGGAGCGAGGAGGCTTGTAAGAGAGTCGTCAATGTCAGGAAATTGCACATACAGTACGATAACGACTCGAAAAGCTCAAATGACTATTCGCTCCACAATATTAGCCGCTTGCATAAACTTGAATCGCTTACGTTCTTTCCTTACGGTCTACCCAATTTGTTGCAGAAGCTCACGTTCTCGAGTTCACTCAAGAAGTTGCATTTAGACGATTGCGATGTTCGCTGGGAAGATTTGTCGGTGATTGGCTCGTTGCCTTATCTTGAAGTTTTGAAACTGAATGTGGGTCGGGTGGAAGGAGAAATGTGGAACCCCGTCGAGGGGGAATTCCTTCGCCTGAAATTCTTGTCAATACTTTGTTTTGATATTGTTTATTTGAATGCAGACTGCTCGCATTTTCCGGTTTTGGAGAAACTTGTACTCATAGGAATGGACAAGTTGGAAGAGATCCCTTTAGATATTGGAGAAATACCAACGCTTGAACTTGTCGAATTAAATAGGTGCACCGAATCTGCCGCCATTTCTGCTATGAAAATAGCGGTGGAACAAGAGAATAATGGTAACGACGAACTTCGAGTTCAAGTTGATTTCCATACGAAGAAACAATTAGAGAGTTTCAAGAAGAAGGTGGAACAATTAGCAACGAGCTTTACGGGAAATAATTTTCAAGCCAATGGGTATTTCGAGTTTCAACATTGAATGACTCCACCTTCTTGTAACAAACTTGGGGCTTATTATTTTTCTCTTCTTTCTTTCTTTTTTTTTTTTTTTTTCGTTTGAGGTCGAGAAATGAAATTTGTCGTTGTGAAGTTTATAAGATGTGTTTTTATTTTCCTTGTGTAAGCAAAATAGGTCTCTAAATTTCATTTTGGAGGCTCCTTTAACGTCTCTAAACTTCATTTTAGAGGCTCGTTAAAAAGTATGTTGTTCAATAATTCCGAGTTGCATAGGGTCTTCGATCTCTCCTTACTATAGTCCGTCATAACAAATTCGATCGATACTATATTTGTATCAAGTGATTAATTAGTACTAAATAACTATCAAGAATTACCATGAATTTAAGTGTTTTCTTTTTTTTTTTTTCCGCCTTCCGGTAATGTCTCTTTTGCCCCTCATCATATCATACCTCTACGCTTCATCTCTTGTCTAGTAGCATGCTGTTTTCCCCTGAGATGCATCTCGAAGCAGTCCTCGTTCATGCAGCTGACGTGGCACAGCTGACAAAACACCGGCTTCTTCTTTGCCACGATCCCTCTAGTTCCGTTCCTCCTACATTCCTCAAGTTCGTGCAGTTTGGCCTTGTGCTTACGCCCCTTCAGGTGCATCTCCATCGTATCCCTATCCGAGCAGAAAATTTGGCAGACGTTGCACTTCGGCTGCTTTACCGTGCAGTTCCTCGTCTTCAGCTGCATCCACAAAAGCTTCGCCTTGTGGGGCCGGCCCCTCAGGTGGTCCTGCATTGTGGTCCCACTTGAGCAGCTGACCTGGCAGAGCTCGCAGAATAAATTCCGGGGGGATTTATACACCGCTTTGCTGCTGTTGTTGTTACTGTAGGCTGGCGGTGGATTTAGCAGTTCTTGAATGTCGATTTGCTTTCTCTTTAAACTCGAACGCGGCTTTGTGGGGATGATTTGCCCTGGAAAATATTTTGGCCTTCGAGTTTCTGCATCGGTTTTCGGAATCAAAATAGCTTTTGGAGGTGGAGTTTTTGCCGGAATCTGTCACCGAAAAAAGGGATTTTAGTTAACAAAGCGTGGAAAAATGACTTTAAATTTTTTTGTGCAAAAATCGGAAATAAAATTTGTTTAATTACCAATGGGAGTTCAAATGATGAGTTATAATTAAGAAGTTTTTTGTCGAAAAGTTTGCTCGGGTTTATCCAATCTTTATGAGGTGATGACGGATTTATGAGGCTCGATATTTCGCCAGAATATGGCTCCTGAATCATACGAAAAATACGATAAATTCAGACAATAAATTCTTTTAATTAGTACATTTTGATGCAAGAACTCACAATTTTTATCAAACTCTGCTCTGTGTGAAATTGGGGTCTTGGAGACGGAAACGTAAGTCTTGGATGTTCCATCGAAGATTGTACCTTCAACCGGGGAATTAAATATTAATAATAAAAAAAAAAAAAAGATCGAGAGGTGAATTGTTAATTAAGGTGAAAAAGGTTGAGCTAAGAAACTAACTTTTGTCCCGGCAAAAATATTCGAGTATCTCATTTATGATTCGAAACGCAGACTTAAACACATCACTTTGGATTTTCATCCAAGACTGTCAATCAGAGAAAATAAATAAAGGAAAATGAGAATTTACGAGCCAAGAAAATTATATTTACTACTGTAAAGATACTATAAATTCGATGAATTAACAGTATGAATGCAAGAAAGTAAGTCATTACATGTAAAGACAACAGATGTGACGAAATACGAATACGAAAAATTGGTTGATGCCTACCTTTTTGCGGTTTGCTAGTTCCAAACTGGAAGTGCTAGTTCCAAACTGGAATTATGCGCAACAAACATTTCTCGTTCGATTAAATTGGGTCCCTTCAAAAAAAGTTGACACAAAATTAAATTTCAAGAGAAGGGATTAATTATTGTATGGGGAATGTGATACGATATATATTTAATATATCGTATATTTATTCATTAGTTATTATTTAATTATTTAATATATATTATTTAAGTATTAATTTAGTTAGAGCCGTAGGTTTAATGATTATAGGATAGACATTAAGTATTTTATTAGTTTAGGTAATTATCTTTCCTAGTTAGATTAGGATTCTAGGGTTTTATTCTCTTTAAATAGTCGTACTGTGCTAGGGTTTTAGAATGCAGAGAGAAATAATAAAGAATAGATCTTACGTTTCGTATGAAATATTTGTGATACACAAGAGATCACATCAATTGGTATCAGAGCGAAGTTGCGATTAACACCAACGCTTCGTTAGCAAGGCAGCGATTACATCAAAGCTACGCTGGAGCAAAGTTGAGAAGTTGAGATCACATCAAAACTTTGTGAAAATCATGATGTCAGAAACAAGACGGTTGGAGCGATTGGAAAAATCCGTAGAGAAATTACGGATTAATTTTCAAAAATTGCTCGAACAAAGTCAAGGACGACGTCAACGCCATCACAAAAGCCGAAGGGACCGCTGCCCGTCACCGCCACGGCCATCACCACCACCGCCGCTGCCGAGCCTATCGTCGGAGGGAGAGGAAGAGGACGACGATGACTTTTTCGAAGAACCTCAATTTTTTGTGAGTTCGCCGAAAGATGAATTATCGGATTCACTTGAGGTAATTTGGGACGAAGGTGAGGAATTAACTAAGGAAGAGAACGAAGAACTACAGTGGATATTAGAAGAGTCCCATGATGTTGAAAGGAAAAAAGACGAACAAGAATTGGTGATTGTGAATGAACCGGAATCTGAAAAGGTAATTGAAGAGGCTTATTTATCGGGAAAAATACTGACAATTTTTCCAAAAACCTTTAGCAGTTCGTTCAATCAACATAAACAATGTGGTAAAGATCTTGATCGTTCGTCATGTTTTTCGGAGTCAATCGGGAAGCAAGTCGATGAAGTCAAACATAGGTGGAAACGCAAAGGAGAGAGACCAATTTAACTCGAACCTTGAGGGCAAGGTTCATTTCAAAAGGGGTGGTTTGATGCGATATATTATTTAATATATCGTTTAAGTATTAGTTTAGTTAATAGTTTATTATTAATTAATTAGATTAGTATATTTATAATATATATATTGCCGTGAGTTAGTAGTGGTTAGGAGATTATTAGGTATTTAATTAGTATAGGTAATTATCTTTCCTAGTTAGATTAGGATTCTAGGGTTTTATTCTCTTTAAATAGTCGTTTTGTGCTAGGGTTTTATTATGCAGAGAGAAATATTAAATAATAGATCTTACGTTTCGTAGGAAATATTTATGATACACAAGAGATCGTATCAATTGGTATCAAAGCGAAGTTGCGATAACACCAACGCTTCGTTAGCAAAGCAGAGATTATATCAAAGCTAAGCTGGAGCAAAGTTGAGATCACATCAAAACTTTGTGAAAATCATGATGTCCGAAACAAGACGGTTAGAGCGATTGGAGAAATCTGTAGAGAGATTACGGATTGATTTTCAGAAATTGCTCGAACAAAGTCACAGACGACGTCAACACCAACACAAAAGTCGAAGGGACCGCCGCCCATTACCGCCAACGCCACCGCCGCTGCCGCTGCCGAGCCTATCGCCGGAGGAAGAGGAAGAGGACGACGATGAATTTTTCAAAGAGCCACCGCCGCCGCCGCTGCCGAGCCTATCGCCGGAAGAAGAGGAAGAGGACGACGATGACTTTTTCGAAGAACTCCAATTTTTTGTGAGTTCGCCAGAAGAAGAGGAATCAGATTCAACTGAGATGAAGTGGGACGAAGAGCCGAAAGAAGAAGAATCGGAGTCAACCGAGATAAAGTGGGACGAAGACGAGAAATTAACCAGAGAGGAGAGCGAAGAGTTACTATGGATATTGGGAGATTTCCATGGTGTTCAAAAGAAAGGAGAAGAAGAACCGATGGTCAGTTTGGAGGAGACAAAATCTACAAAGACGATTGAAAAAGTTTATTTATCGGGAAAAAGATTGGATATTTTCGCTAAAGTAGCCTTTGGAATTTCGATGGATCAGCATGAACAATGTATTAAAAAGCTCGGTCGTTCATCGTGTTTTTCGGAGTCAATCGTGAAGCAAGTCAATGAAGTCAAACATAGGTGGAAACGCAAAGGAGAGGGATCAAATTGACTCGAACCTTGAGGACAAGGTTCATTTCAAGAGGGGTGGTTTGATACGATATATATTTAATATATCGTATATTTATTCATTAGTTATTATTTAATTATTTAATATATATTATTTAAGTATTAATTTAGTTAGAGCCGTAGGTTTAATGATTATAGGATAGATATTAAGTATTTTATTAGTTTAGGTAATTATCTTTCCTAGTTAGATTAGGATTCTAGGGTTTTATTCTCTTTAAATAGTCGTACTGTGCTAGGGTTTTAGAATGCAGAGAGAAATAATAAAGAATAGATCTTACGTTTCGTATGAAATATTTGTGATACACAAGAGATCACATCAATGAACCGGAATTTAGAAGAGTTTTCTTACGTTAAGTAAAGAAATCTTATGATACACAAGAGATCGCATCAATTGGTATCAGAGCGAAGTTGCGATTAACACCAACGCTTCGTTAGCAAGGCAGAGATTATATCAAAGCTACGCTGGAGCAAAGTTGAGATTACATCAACACTTTGCGAAATTATGTCGTCCGAGAGAAAACGTTTAGAGCGATTGGAAAAATCCGTGGAGGAGATACGGATTGGTCTCCAAAAACTGCTCGAACAAAGTCAAGGACGGCGCCAACATAAGAGCCGAAGAGACCGCCACCGCCGACCAACAACACCACTACCGCCGCCGCCGAGCCTATCGCCGGAGGAAGAGGACGAGGATGATGATGACTTTTTCGAAGATCCACCGCCGCCGCCAATGCCAAGCCTACCGCAAAAGGAAGAGGAAGAGGACGACGGTGATTTTTTCAAAGAACCCCAATTTTTTGTGAGTTCGCCGGAAGAAGAAGAATCAGATTCAACTGGTATAAAGTGGGACGAGGAGACGAAAGAAGAAGAATCGGAGTTAACGGAGATAATTTGGGACGAAGATGAGGAATTAACCACAGATGAGAATGAAGAACTACAATGGATATTGGGAGATTTCCATGTTGTTGAAAGGAAAAAAGACGAACAAGAATTGGTGATTGTGAATGAACCGGAATCTGAAAAGGTAATTGAAGAGGCTTATTTATCGGGAAAAATATTGAGAATTTTTCCAAAAGCCTTGAGGAGTTCGTTCGATCAACCTAAACAATGTGGTAAAAATCTTGATCGTTCGTCATGTTTTTCGGATTCACTCGGGACGCAATTCGATGTAGTCAAACACAGGTGGAAGCGCAAAAGAGAGAGCTGCAATTATTGGAACCTTGAGGACAAGGTTCATTTCAAGAGGGGTGGTTTGATACGATATATTATTATTTAATATATCGTTAATTATTAGTTAGTCATTATTTAATTATTAAATAAATAGAATAGTTGTTTAGGGTTATAGATGGCCGTGAGTTAGTAATGGTTAGGAGATTATTAGGTATTTAATTAGTTTAGGTAATTATCTTTCCTAGTTAGATTAGGATTCTAGGGTTTTATTCTCTTTAAATAGTCGTATTGTGCTAGGGTTTTGATTATGAAGAGAAATAATAAACAAGAGTTTTCTTACGCTTTATACACAAGAGATCGTATCAATTGGTATCAAAGAGCCACCGCCGTCGAAGGTACTCGAATTTTCTTTCATTTGTTGGCTTCAAAACTCTTGTCCTCCATTTTTATGGGTGTATATGGAATTGCCATCACTTTTGGGGACTTCAATGAAAAGTTCCCTTTTGTTATTGGAGGGTTGAAATTTGAGGCAAAAGTGATATTTCTTTCTTTTCCACCTAGGGACCCAATTGCAATTTAAGACTTGATTGGAGGATTTGATTTTTCTGCCCCGCCTTCTTTATTCGGCCGACCAAAATCTTCTTCTCCATTTTCACTGCTACCATTCCACCGCCGGGCGACATATTTTGGTTGCCATCCGCCATTGGAACACAACCTTTCACCAACTCTCGTTCCCTTCTCGTGGGTTTAACGAGATTTGTATTGAACTGCCATTTATGTATATCGTGACTGTGGCGACCAAGGACTGCAGCAAGGAGGAGCGGCAATGGGTGAGATTTGGCTCGTACGCAACCGTCTTTATGTCTTCGAGAGAACATGCGGCGCGGTCCTCCAGTCGAGGGTGAGTTTGAGGAGGCGGATCTGAGCGGCCAACGGTTTGCGGCGGTGGGAACATGAGATAACACCGTCGAGTGCTTTACACGGTGATGGCGTTTCCGGTCGGCGGCGAGGTTGAGGCGGCGGAGCGGAGTGCCATGGTGGAGTGTTTTCCGCCTATTGCCTTGTGTTTGTGGAACAAGACATGGGCCAGCTGTTCGGTCGACGTGAGTTGAAGGTGGCTGACTGGACTTTGTATTGGC